ATAGGAAACACTTGTAGATCTCAAGTTTTTCCTATCAATCTTCGAAAAACAATGAGATTTCTCCACAAAAATTCATACAAAACCACGAAAATAGTAGATAATTTGTATTATTTGATGAAAAGGAAGCGAAAAATACCAAGAAACAATTGATCCTCTATTCGAGAGGAGGATCGAGCTCTCCTAATCTCTAGACGCCGCTAGAGCCCAAAAGAAAACCTAAATCTAGGAGATCTCAAATTTCAGCCAAATTCCAGATGCACTAACCCTAGGAAAACAAATTATTTAATGCATACAAATCAAAAGGAAATTCTAAACAATCCCTTCATTCAAATTTCCCTCCAAACTCCCTCAAAAAAACTTCCTAAAACAGCATACTATGTCATGCGTGCGTTTGGTGCCTACAAAAGGCAGAGAAATCCGCCTCTGTGTTCGCGTATGCCGATCCCGTCGGACCGGTTGGACCATTCTAACATTATGATAATAAAGTCAAGGAAAAAAGTTATATTAAATTTTTCGCATTCTATAATTTCCTTTGGGTGACTAGTCAAATGCTGAATTACAATTTACCGCCTTTATTTTTAAATAGTTATATTACATTATGTCATATGTTCTTAGGATTATTTATATGATACGACGGTTCCTTTAGAACCGCCTCTTGAGGCGGTTCCTTCTGAACCGCCTCAGCCGGCTCCTCCTGGGCCGGCACTTGTATACAAAAGGAAGCAATTTCGCCTCCTTTCTTACCCAAATTAAATTACAGCCTAGGGGTGGCCACATGAATTGAATTTATTTAAAAATTATTTTTAGGAAAGATTTGAGGAGGTGGAAAAGTCTTTAAATAGGAGAGGTAAAGGGAAGGGAAGAGCATGTAAGTATTGTTTTCTTCTTGGAGTTTCTTGGGTGTTTTGGGCTCGAGACTCTCTTGTCTAGAGATTTGGGAGAGACGATCCTCCTCTCGAATTGAGGATCACTTGTATCTTGTTTTCGTATTGTTTTTTCTTTGTTTCCCTTATTGCAATCTATTATTTTGGGGTTGATTTCGCCCAGATTTTGGCTTATTTCTCGTTGTTTTGTCTCCAATTAATAATAGGTTTGCTTGTGAACTCAAGTATTCCCATAGGGTTGCTTGCGAACTCAAGTATTTCCTATCAAATTGATATCAGAGCGAGTCTTGGGGCCGGTGTAGGGCTGTTGTCGGCAAATTCAAGCAGCAGTTTTTTGACCAGAAAAAGAAGAAGTTGCTGTTTTTTGACTCCAAAATCCAGATTTTGTGAATCTACAAACTCAGGATCATAATGGCGGCCAAGAAAATTGATGCTTTGGAGAAGAAACTCGAAGGAGAGATGAATCACATCAAAGAAACCGTGGAGGAAAGAATTTCTTCCATGGAGGGGTAGGTGGCCGATCTCAAGGACATGATGAAAAGAATGTTGGAACTTCAAGCACAAACGGCGGCATCCGAAGCGAAGGGCCCCGAAGCGAGAAACACCAATTCTGAAATCCGAAAGGAGGAAGAAGAGGTTGAAATCGTGGAGGGGGAAGAAGAAGACCCTATGTGGAGCCTTTCCATAGGGAGGAAAGAGGAGATCGACATGGGGAAAAGTATGGATATGGGGGAGCGGAGCAAGGAAGGGCTGATTGGGAACACCAGGAGGGGTTTTACGGCCGTTGGGGTGCTGAATTTGAAGGGAGAATAGGGGACTTTGAAGGGGCTTTGGGCTATGGCAGGGCAAGAGAAGATCGGAAAATTTGGGGTGCACCTAGCACTTGGGAAAGGGGAAACTATGGAAGAATCCGAGGCAATGGGGGGTATTAAAAGGTAAGGAAGTTGAAGATGCCCATATTCGAAGGAGAAGACGCGTATGGGTGGATTTACAAAGTGGAGCGACGATGTTGATTGTCAGTGGTTTGCATCTTTCAAGTGATTGACAGTTACGGATACGACGATGTTGTCTGTGGCGAAGGCCGCGAACTGGAGGTAGAGGAAATCAAGAGGAAGTTGTCGCACTCGAATGTGCATGAAGGCGTGATTTATGTTAGTTTTAACAAAAAAAATATAAAAATAGGGTGAGGCGTGCCTCAAGGCGGGCCTCAGCCAAGTTGAGGAGCAAGCCTCATAAAAAAGCTAGAGGCGTAAGCCTCAAGGCATTTTTCACATGAATTGCGCTAAGGCGAGCCTCATATTGCGCAATTTTAAACAATGGTGACTCTTAAATATTTTACTTATCATATTTTAAATTAATTTAATGATTTTATTTTGAGGCTTATGCTTTAAAATGTATTGAGGTTAGGCCTTGCCTCAATAATATAAAATATTTCAATATCTGATTGCATAATTTTAAACTATGGATTAAATAAAATCATTAAAATTGATCTATTTAACAACGATATTGTCATTAAATACAACAATAACAACATCAAGCCTTTATCCCACTACATGGGGTCGGCTGCATAATCCTTTTTCTCCATTGTGTCCTATTAAAAGTCAAATTCTCATTTAAATCTAATAAAGAAAGGTCATTCCTAATATTTTCTAACCAAGTCTTTTAAGGTCTACCCCTACCTTTCTTAACATAAGTCAAATCTAATACCTCTACTCTCCTAACTGGGTCATCGGAAGGACGCCGTTTTATGTGACCAAACCATCTAAGGCGACTCTCTCTAATCTTATCTTCTACTGGAGCTACTCCAACCTTTTCACGTATATGCTCATTTTGTATCCTATCTCTAAGGGTAAAGCCACTCATCCACCTGAGCATCCTCATCTCAATCACACTTAACTTAGTATTATGATTCTCTTTTAATGGCCAACATTCGGCACCATAAAGCATTGCAGGCCTCACTACCATCTTATAGAATTTCCTCTTAAGTTTGAGGGGTACATTTCTATCACATAACAAGCCCGATGCATTCCTCCACTTCAACCATCCAACTTGAATTGTTTCCATGGCCACCATGAATGCTTTTAAAATCATCTACCTCTCTACCAACATGTTCATTTAAATCTCCTCCAATAAAAACTCTTTCTTCAAGAGGTATCTTTTGTATTAATTCTTCTAAGTTATTCCAAAAATTTAATTTAGAACTCATATCCAAACCTACTTGAGGAGTATAAGCACTTATAATATTAACAATCATCAACAACAATCTTTAAAGCTATAATTCTATCTCAAATCCTATTAATTTTTATAACATTATCCTTTAAACTCTTATCTATAATAACACCTACACAATTTCTAGTACGACTCCTACCCGAATACCAAAGTTTAAATCCTAAACTATCAATTTCCTTAGCATTCTCTCCAACCCATTTAGTTTCCTGAATGCACAAAATATTTAACTTCCTATGAATCATAATATCTATTAATTACATTAATTTTTCTGTAAGGGAACCTATATTCCAAGTTCCTATCCTAATTTTAGTTTCATGGACTAGCTTCTTTGCCCACATCCGTTCTTGATGTGGGAACCCTTGCCTATTTAACATTGCACCCGGGCGCCGCTACAGCGCTAAATATTGTCATTAAATGAAACAAATAAATAGTAAATGTTAAATTGATGGTCTGTTGATATTAGCTTACAAGAATAATTTACAATAACATTTTTAGAAGTATAAGAATTTAAATTTTAACATCAACCAAGCAGGAAAAGAACATACTTGAATTTATTTTACATTCAACCGCACAACACAACAACAATAAGCCTTTATCCCAGTACATAGGGTTGGTTACATGGATATTTTTTCTTCATTGTGTCTATTTAAGAGCCAAATTCTCAAATCTTAATAAAAAAAAATATAATTTCTAATAGTTTCTAACTAAGTCTTTTTAGATTTACCTCTACCTTTCTCAAAATAAGCCGGATCTAATGCATCTACTCTCCTATTAGGATTATCGGAAGACATACATTTTATGTGACCAATCCATCAATGGTAACTCTCTCTAATCTTATCTGCCGCTATAGCTATTCCAACATTTACATGTATATAATTATTTTGCATTCTGTTTTTAAGTGTAAAGCCACACATCCACCTGAGCATCCTCATCTCTGCCAATGTTTAAAATTGCGTATTCGGGTATTGAGGCGTTTTTCATTTGTGAGACGAGGCGTAAGCTTCAAGGCGTTTTGAGGCATAAGCCTCAAAATCAAAAGATTGCGTAAACATAAAATGATAAATTTTTTATATGTTAATGAGTGAATAATATAAAACATAAGATATGAAGTGAAATCAAAATATCCCAATAATAAGACAACATGAAATATAGTTCAACTCAAAATTCTATCTTTCCCAAATCCCAGTATTCTTTTCATTAACATATGATTCCAATTTCCAAAAATAAATAGCAATGACATATCACATAAGAACTCATAAGTCATCAGCACTGTCATCACTAAGGGGATATTCATTTGAATCATCATTATAATGAGCTGCTCTCTCCCCTTCCTCCTCTCTTATAGAGTCTAATATCGGGCATTTACTTCAAGATTTATGTAAGTTTTAATATATATAGCGTGAGGCGTAAGCCTCATGCTAGTGAGGCGAGGCGGGCCTCAACCAAGTTGAGGCGCAAGCCTCATAAAAAAAACTCGAGGCGTTTTTTACTGAAATTGCGCTAAGGTGAGCCTCATATTGCGCAATTTTAAACCATGATCTCTGCAACACTTAACTTAATTTTAAGCTTCTTTTTTACTAGCCAACATTTTATGCCATAAAGCATTGCAAATCAAAATTAAAAAATAAATAAATAAACAAAGCGTTGCAAATCTCACCACCATCTTATAAAACTTTTCTTAAATTTGTGAGAAACTTTTCAACCACAAAATACTTCCATTATATTGCTTTGCATAATTGCATTCTTAATAAACATGTATTTTAGTTGCATATGCAACAAAACTGCCCCTTAATACATAAGATAAAATAAAATCAAAAGTAAAATACACAACATAATGTTAAATCAAAGTAGATTTGAAAAAAAAAAATTGAAAAAGAAAATTTTAACCTTTTTTATCACTCTTAAATCTCCTCCCATTATCTTGTGACTGCAAATCCAGTAGTCCTGTCAGTCAAATGTGCAGAAGAAAAAACATATAAGGCTAATGTTCAGGAAAAAGGAAATTACCTTAGCACCGCTCAACTTCGCTAACAGTTCTCGATCAACAATGTCATCCGTCCTCGCTGACAAATCTCTGCCAAAGATATTTACAAGAAAATTTAACATTCAACAAACAAAATTAACGAAAATACCAAGATAAGTTTTACTTCCAACACAAGAAAGTACGTTTTAACAACAGCCGGTTTTGGTGATTTTCGAACAGGAATCTTAGGCGCAAATTTCAACTGCAGAAATATGCAAGACAAACATGATAACTTATAAAGATGATCAAATATCAATAACATTTAAAGGACATCATACATTTAAACGGATAGAAATTAAACCTTTATAGGTGGAGGACCCGATCCATTATCTGATCCATCCTTCATTTTTTTTTTCTTTTCAGGAAATCTAATAGAATATAACTCAAGAAATTAGGTAAAATGTATATATTATCTGGGCAGAACAAGGAACCCTAATACTCAGGGGCTGTTTGGTATCGGATTTATGTTGCGATTTAAGTCGGATTTACGCTAAATCCAGCCAAACGGTTTTTGTGCGCGCGTTAAATCCCAGGATTTCAATCCCGAATTTAGGGATTTACGGCTTAAATCCCGGATTTACTAATCCCTCGGTTCGGTGGATTTAACGGGATTTAGCCGAATAAGCGCGCGAAAGGGAGAAAGTTACCTTCACAGCTAGCGAGCTCCTGTTCTTGCTTCCGATCAAAATGTCGTAAATTCCGATCGGACAGGAGGGAAAGTCGTAGAAGGAGCGAAGTCGAATAGCCAGGAAGGAGCCGAAGAAGCGACGCGTGCAATCTATACACCTCCTGCAAAGCAACGAAGCCGAGCAGGAGAAAAGAGTGGATGAAAGGCAAACCGAGACGACTTACGTTATTATTGATTAACTTAATTAATATAATTTAAATTATTAATAATTAAGTAAATTAATAAAATAACTAATTGTATAGTTAGTGCATAAATTAATTATCTAGATTTAACTTAATTGTATAATTAGTAATTAATATTAATATAATTAGCTTAATTAATATAACTTAATATATATATATATATATATTATTATGTATATAATTAATTAATTAATAGTTAATAAGTACTTTGTACATAATATATTATTAAATTCATAACACATTAATTTTTATTTTTAATTATACATTTATGTTTAAATTTATAATTATTTTCTTCACATTTAAATCTCTAACTATTATAAATCTTGAAATATGTACCAAACAATTTCTCAGAATTTTAACAGGTTTAACATTTGACATACCAAACAGTTTTCAGGATTTAACACATTTCAGATTTACTAAATTTAGATTTAGAATTTACTAAATCCTACTAAAATTAAATCCCGCTTGTTGCCAAACAGCCCCTAATGCTCAAGCCCTAAAAAATAAAGCAAGAAATCCTCAACTCGGGAGTGCTTCATGAGAGAGAAAAAAAAAAAAAAAAAAAGAGCAAGAAGCTCACCACTCAGCCAGTTACACGCCAATTACAAAAGTGCAAGAAGCGATGAGTAACCACTTGCCAGCATCACGTCACGGAGCCGTCTCCGATCAATCTCTCGACAAGGCCTCCTAAATTCTGATACAAACCTTGGTCAGGCACAGTCTTGCGGATATCCTTACCGGAAAGATCCCTTCTCAGAGCCGTAGAACCGGCCAACAACCGCCGCGCGCTACGAAGCGACCGGTAAGCTGTGACAATTCCGAGTCCGCCCTACGTCGGTCATGTAAATGGGGAAATTATTCTGTCCGGAGTTCGAGTCCGAACGTAGAGGATGGACGCACTGATTAGGCTTTGTTTATACTCTGCTGTATTTGTAGATAGGCAACTAATTATTTGTTGTTTATTTATTCTATATTTATGAATACATAGTATATAGTAAATATGTATAGGCAGAGCTTATTATGTTAGTAATCCGGAAGATCAACTACGTTCGAACTCCGCACATCATAATTTTCCATGTAAAAGAGATCCGGATTGGCCAGCAACTAGGAAACCGATGCTATAATCCTCTCGTCTCTTTCCCCATACACTTCAGTCTGGTCCAAGTCGAGCATGAACTTACCTTATTGCCAGTGGCGGAAGCAAGTGTAGTTCAGGGGGGGCAATTGCCCCCCTTAAAAAAAATTTTAATTACATATAAGGTCATTTTAGTAATTTGCCCCCTCTGAAAAAATTTGTTTGCCCCTTTTCTGCCCTAACATCCCGCGACGCCTCTTATTTTTGTTCTTCTTCATGAATCGCAAGCTGATTCAGATTTCAGAAGCGAATCGCAAAAGCAGACCGCAGCCCTCAGCCCCTCCTTCCGTCTTCTTCACGCGACAGCGGGTAGAGGCGTAGAGCTTTCAGCCTTTCAGGCCGCAGCCGGCAAGCCGCAACTTCGCTCCAAGGAATCAAGATTGTGTAAGTTTTTCTTCTTGTTTCTGAAAATTTATTCAGCTTTTTGTTTCTTCTTTCAAGTTTCAGATTTTGTTTGCTAAGTTTTGGCTTTCCAATTTTTTCGTATGCCTTTTCCTTTAGAAAATTGGTTTGGGCCGTTTGGCCAGCCGCCAGCAGTTGCAATTCCATGAGAAATTTTAAATTATATTATTTCTGCTTTGATTTGAGAATTTATAAATCAGCTGAGATTTGATCATTCTATCTCCATCCATCTTTCTCACAAAATATTAAACAAATGCTTCGTTTGGAGTCCTTGAGATTTGAGAATGGACTTGAGAAGTTATTTTTATAAAGGTTGCTGTATCCATGTAAGTTTGTTGATGTAGAATATGTAGATTGAAACCTGTAGAAAAACGTTAGAGCAAAGAAGAGAATAGCAGAGAGACAAGATTTGGAATACTATGTGATTTTTCAATGTAAGACCTGTAGGATTTCAGTTCGGCTTATCAGTTGAGAATTTGTTTTTTAAAATTCTTGCTCAAGGATTTAATAGATGAACATTAATCAATAATTTAATAGGTAAATGTCATCATAAGTGTGTATTAAATAAAGCTCAAACAAGTATGGAGACCTTGAGAACGGACTTGTTTTGCTCTAAATTCTTCAGGTAATTGTTGCATATATGTTGTTATGGATTGATTTATTATTGTTGGATTGAGATCTTTTTTTCGAATTTAGGTCTTTTTTTTATTTGATCTTACTAAAAGAGAGTAGACCATGTTAATATAATTTTTCACAGGATATATCAAATCATTTTTTGATTCGAATGGAACGTTATCTAAAGAGGAAAGAACCTTTGGAGACTGATATTAACAGTCTCCCAGCTGATCCAGGAATTCGACCTTCAATTTGGTGTTACGATGTAAATGAAAGAGATAATATACTATCATTGATATGCAACTTCAAGAGCTGAATAATAGATTCTCTGAAGCCAGTACTGAATTGCTTCTTTGTATGTCATGTCTAAATCCAAGTAACTCGTTCTCTGCTTATAATAAGAAAAAATTAATTCGGCTTGCAGAACTATGTTCAGTCGATTTTTCTATTGTTGAACTTGTGGCTTTAGAGCACCAGCTATCGACATACATTCTTGATATGCGTTCAAGCGAGGAGTTCTCATCTTTGGACAACATTGCAGATCTAGCAAAACAATTTGTTAAGGCTAAAAAAGATATCGTGTAGCAATATAATATCTTGTTTGAATTTTGTTATAAATATATTTTTTAATCTTTTTATAATTTTGCCCCCCCCCCTAAGAATTAAGGCTGATTCCGCCCCTGCTTATTGCACCTCCCCCCCCCACCCGAACTAATATTTTAATTTAACTTTTATTATTTTATTTTTAGTTACCACCTTTAATTTATATTTATATCATCTATGATATTTAAATTAGTCATCAAAATGAATTTTTTATCTTTGACTTACTTGTGACAAATTATAAACATCCATTTTTAACCACCTTATTGTTTAATATTGTTAATATTTGTAGCGACGAATAAAAAATCATAAATAAATTATATATTTTTATTTAATATTATTCAATCTTTAATATTGAGTGAGAAAATTGTTGTCGCTATACATTGTTATATGATAAGGGCAAATATCTGTTTGTGACGTCTGCAACATTTTGTAAAGATGATTATGAAGCTGTTGTATGGAAATAATTTTCTTAAAAGAAAGTTCTTATAAATATTAAAAATATATTATTTTAAAAAATAAACAACATCTTTTTTAATGCTAGCACATATTAGCAACTCTGGTTACAAAAGGTAGCTTCCGACCACAAAAGTATTAAAAACAACTAAAAAGTGATAGCCAAATAGAATTATGATTGAGATTTGAAAGTGAAAATAAGGAGAAAATTATCCCAAAAAGATCCTAAATCTTAGTTTAAATGTTTATTACATTATAGGGAAATGATATAGGGCTAGATATCATGAACTTTTGAAAGCTAAAATTGTAATGTTGTCATTATTAAGTGCTAGGAAATTTAGAGTGATAAAATATGTATTTTATATCTTGATTTTTGTATACAAATTTAATACGTGTAGATAGAAATTGTGAGAGACCATAATTTTGTTTGCGGAAAGCCCACGAATGAGAAAAACTATCCAGCCAGACCTAGTTGTAACATTCTAATATATAATGGAAGATACAATAATCTTCCTTTCCTCACAAATGAAAAATATAGTAATATACATAATTTGGAATAATTGAATGATAACCATTATAAGAATTATAAAAACTAGGTGTCAACACGTGGACTTTTAAAGTCAACAATAGAGATATATGTTATTAGTCTAGCAATATTTGTCGAATGACAAAAGTATGGTAATTGTTATAGTACCGATTGTTGATGGAAATCGTTGGTGGTGATCGTCAAAAGGCAATCGTTGGTGGTGATCGTCAAAAAATGCAATAGAGTCTATTGCATTCATCTCTTCAAGCTGCTCGATCTAACTATAACCGCCATAAGATTTGAAAATGAGTTGATATTAAATAAATTACTTGATTTGTGTTCATTTAGACTTTTATATGATCATTTGTGGTGTCGATTAGTCCATCTCGTTGAAACATTCAATTCAATTATAAATTTGTTGAGATCAAAGTTCAGATTATCTTGAATTTAATTCTTAAAATTTTAAATTTAAATATTATCTCAAGATCATGCTGATCAATTTAATTTTCTAGAGAGTTATCAATCATATTAGAAAAAATCGATGCAAATGGCCATATAATTGAGTATCAAATTTTCAGATTAATAAATCAACTGGGCACTTGTTTATTTTATGACCCACCTTTATAAAAACAAGTATATATAACTCAGTATACTAACTATATATCCACATAAATGCACAATGAGTGAATTTTCCTTTATTTTTTAAATAGTAGTCCAAAGCTTACTTTTATCGAATGCAAGCAAACGAAGAAATAACAATTAAATTAATTTTTTGATCATTCACATGCTTTCAATTTAATTTCTAAGCATCAATTGGTCTCCAAACTATACTTCTTCATTTGACATACTTATTAATGATAGTGTTGTTATTCTTGCTTGAGGAAGAAGATGCATGGGTATTCTTGATCTTGGACGAGAGAGAGGGAGAGAGCTATTCAAAACTTCAGCTCGTGTGCGTCTCGTGCCAGACGAATTCATAGAACTCATTTCAAATGTTATAACAATCTGTCAACAAAGATAAAAAACTTTAGGAATAAATTGACAAATGAATTTTTAAGAACACTTTGCTTACTCCATTCAAAAGCATTACCATACAAATTCTTTTAGAGATTACAGTCATTACGTAGCAAAAGACAAAGAAATTTACAAAAAGTGACGTGTGGTCACTCCAAACTTAAACACAAGCAGCTTTGAACTAAACCTGAGGAAGATGTGAAGTGTGAAAAATTCTAAACTTTAGACCCAAATTAAGAATTATTTAAGTTCTTTTACAGCGGGGAATTCTTTTACAGCAAAAAATTTCAACTAAACACAATCTGTCAACAAAGACTTAGAAATTTACAAAAACTGAAGTGTGGGAAATTTTTTGAAGTTACGAAAATCTTTGAAGCAAAACCAAACTCTGACCTAAACCTCTACGAATGCAAGAGTTCACACTCTTCATTAAAAAGTTTAGCAAAATATCTCATCCACCTTTGTTGAATATCATCTTCTAAGAAAAGTATTTTTTGATCTTCATCCTTAATACACTTCTACGAATGCAAGAGTGAAGTGTGAAAAATTCTGCGTATAAGATAACCTGAGGAAGATGACCGGAGATAGAGCTTTTCCGAACGAAAATGGAGCGGAGCTAGGGCTTTCGGCAGGGTAGCGATAGGCTTTCCGAACAAAAATGGAGCGGAGCTGCTCGCCACAGCTAGCGGGGAGAAGACATTTCGGCTTTCCGTACGAAAATGGAGCGGAGCTGCTCGCCACAGCTAGCGGGGAGAAGACATTTCGGCGGGTTGCTAGGGCTTTGCTAACGAAAATGGATGGGGACTAACGGAGTGGTATTTTTGTTATGAGAATAGTATTTAGGTGGTATTGATGTAATATTTAAGTTTTAAGTGTTAAATATGTAATATATATGTTATAAAGTGGTATGTATGTAAAAATCCCAAATAAATATTATGCCTCGTGTTCAAAGATCTTAGATATGGCGGAATCTGTAACTGCTTTCTTTTCGCAAGTATGAGACCATTTACCTCTCTGCAGCTGCGGCTGCAGAAATATCTTAGCGGGAAATGGCCGCTGTGGCCGCCGCCATTGCATCAACTTCCTTTCCTTCTCGTCCCCTCCTCTCCGCCGCAGCATTAGACCTAAAAAACCTTCTTTTTAACGAACCCCTTCCCTTCCGCGACCTCAAGCTCATCCATGGCCGCTTCTACCGCCTCAGCCTCGACGACGATGGCTACCTCCTCAACCTCCTTCTCCGCTCTTCGTTCGTCTCCGGACACCCCGCCCATGCCCTCCTGCTATTCTCACGAACCACAAAACCAAACATTTTCCACTACAACACCGCAATCCGCGGTCTGGTCTCAGCCAATCTCATGGCGGAGGCTGTTCACTTTTACTGCAATATGCGACGGGAAGGTTTGTCGCCTGACAACTTCACTTTCCCCTTTGTTCTAAAGGCCTGCGCGAGGCTTCTTGATTTGGAAACCGGAGTGAAGATCCATGCCCAACTTCTAAAAGTTGGATTTGAGCTGGATGTCTTTGTCAATACTAGCTTGGTATCGATGTATGCAAAATGTGGCGGATTGGATGACGCCCAGAAGATGTTTGATGAAATGCCTGTTACAAATGTTGTGTCTTGGACTGCAATGATTAGTGGATACATCAGCGAAGGCAAGCTGAAGGAGTCTGTAGATGTGTTTCGAAAGTCACTGGAGAGGGGATTGAAGCCAGATAGTTTCACCCTCGTGAGAGTGCTGACTGCTTGCACCCAATTGGGCGATGCGAAGATGGGAGAATGGATACATGAATTAGTATCTGAGAAGGACATGGATAGGAATGTGTTTGTAGCTACCTCACTTGTTGACATGTATACTAAATGTGGAAGAATGGAGAGAGCTCGCCATGTTTTTGATGGAATGGCGCAGAAGGATGTTGTTTCATGGAGTGCAATGATTGGTGGATATTCTTCTAATGGGCTCCCTAAGGAGGCATTGGAGCTGTTTTTCAAAATGGAAGCTGAGAATATAAAGCCGGATTGTTTCACCATGGTTGGAGTTCTTTCAGCTTGTGCAAAACTTGGGGCCCTTGAATTGGGTGAAAGAGTTACTCACTATATGGAAATGAATGAATTCCTCTCAAACCCAGTTTTGGGGACTGCGTTGATTGATATGTATGCAAAGTGTGGCAGCATGGCTCGGTCCTGGGTGGTTTTTGAACGAATGAGTGAGAGGGATCTCATAGTTTGGAACGCTATGATTAATGGTCTTTCCATGACTGGTCATGGAAAGACTTCCTTTGGGTTATTTGCTCAAATGGAGAAGCTGCAAATAAGCCCAGATGGTAATACTTTTGTAGGCCTCCTTTGTGCTTGTACTCACACAGGTTTGGTAGAAGATGGACGTGCATATTTCAATAGCATGGGTCAAGTTTACTGCTTGAGTCCCAGAATAGAGCACTATGGATGTATGGTTGATCTTCTTGGGCGTAATGGTTTGTTGGAAGAGGCTCATCAGTTGATAAACGAGATGCCAGTGGAAGCTAACGCTGTTGTTTGGGGGGCTTTGCTTGGTGGTTGCAGGATACATCGAAAAATTGATTTGGCAGAGCATGTCTTGAAGAAGTTAATTGTGTTAGAGCCTCATAACTCTGGTAATTATGTTCTGCTATCAAATATCTATGCTTTAAATGGTAGATGGGATGAGTCTGAAAAACTTAGATTGACTATGAAGAGAAGGGGAATTCAAAAGACTCCTGGTTATAGTTGGGTGGAGCTGGATGGTGCTGTTCATGAGTTCCATGTAGGAGACAAGTCCCATCCAATGTCAGAACAAATCTATCTGAAGCTGGATGAACTAACCAAGCAATTAAAGGCAATGGGGTACATGCCAAAAACTGAAGTTGTCTTATTTGACATCGAAAATGAAGAAAAGGAGCATTCTCTTGAACATCACAGTGAAAAGCTGGCAATTGTATTTGCACTCATCAGTACGCAGCCGGAGGAAACAATAAGGGTAGTGAAGAATCTCAGGGTTTGCAGCGACTGTCATTCAGCTATAAAGCTTATTTCCAAAATCTACAGTAGGGAGATAATTGTCAGGGATAATAACCGGTTCCATTGTTTCAGAGAGGGAGCTTGTTCATGTAACGATTATTGGTGAAACCAAAAATGGAACAAAAAATTATTGGGTCGTAGGAGTTGGTGAAAACATGGAGGGAAGCATGGAGATTTAGAAGAAAGCAGTCTCATCCGCTCAACCAGATAGTTTGCCACGTTTAAAAATCGGTAACTAGCTAAAAGCTATTTTAGCTCTCCTGACAGGATCTAATTTCCCAGCTTCTTCACTGATGTAATTGTGCTTAGGAGCTTCAGTGTCTTGTTTTAGATAATCTTCATAGATGATTGTCTTAGTAAGAATAACTGCAAAGCATTCATACACTGTACCAATGGTTCACTTTTTGCCTTTCTTCCAGATATTCCTGGAGTTTCAAAAGGAAAATCGACCTAAAGAAAGACCAACCGGTGCTAACAATGAACTCCGTAAAATGCTATGAAGTAAGAAATACTCCGTCTTTTGATCTCAATCCTGTCTCTTGCCTGCTTGATTCTTTGCTAAAGCTCATCTCACCCACTTTTATTGATTCACATGAGTGGAACTGGGGATTTCTGCTCAAGCTATTCTGTCAATTAGTGTAAATTGATATGGAGAAAAAAGAAAGTCTGTGTGGTGTATTGGAAGACAAGAAATCTGAGAACAATATAATTTTGTAATTCATAACCCAGCTTTACGTGTAAATTTGATCCAACTGTATATTTTTCTTCTTTTCTTTATCATATAAAAAATTTGAATGAGTATGTATTTGTAGAATTTCGTCCGATTGTCCGTGTATTACTTGTTAAACATCTTAGATTCATGTACCCTTTGTTACTATGTGGTTTGTCTCGGGTGTCTTCTCTTCTCTCGAGGGGCTTCTGAAATTTCATCTCAACCATGCTCTGACCTTTGATTTATTCAAGAAAGTTGGGCTACCAGTGTAACTATCACAGAATGAGTATCTAGGTTTGGCAATGGTAGAATGAGTATCTGTGTCCCGAGCGTCCTGACGCTGTGTCCCCAATAGGGGTGTAAACGAGTCGAGTATTTGTCTTATCAAGCCTGGTTCGTTTAATCCTTAATGAGCTTGAGCTCGATTAGTGGGCTTAAGATCGACTCGTTTAAAAAATATCAAGCTCGAGCTCGTTTGATATTATAAAAAAATAAGCTATCAAATATTATAAAAAATAATATATATATATCGAGTAGCTTGATAAGCTTTCGAGTCGAGTCAGGTTGAGCTCGAACTCGAGCTCGTTTATCATAAGAGCTCGAGCTCGAAGCTCGATAATCTCGGCTCCCGAGCTCGTTAACGAGTCGAGTTCGAGCCGGCTCACGAGGCAGCTCGGCTCACTTACACCCTTAGTCCCCAAGCGCCCTGGCGCTGTGTCTCCAAGTGCCCTGGTGATGCATTGTTTGCTGGAGAAACAATAGAGAACAGAGTGCCATAGCGCTCTAGATTCAAAATCACAACGTTGTTTAGTGTCGCAGCATTGCGGGTTTGAGCACCACAATATCATGATGACAGAGGCTTGAGCGTCACAGTGCTTCGAGGCAGACTTGACATTTTTCTTTCTCATTTTTTTGAAAGGTGGCATCCCTTGGTGTTATTTACTTACGTTTCTCTTATGTTTTGAGTATGAGAACGGTGTAAGAGAGAAGAGAGGCAAGGAGAGAGCTAGAGAGAAGAGAGATATGCACTTATTTCTCCTTCTTTTCGTAGTGAATTTCTTAGTCTGATGTGGCTCCATGGTTTTTCCCGATTTTGAGTTTTTCCACATTAAATCCTGATGTCATTTATTTTCCGCTGCTTATATTTTCTTTTTTGTTTCATTGTATGGTGTACTTCCATCCCAACATCTTGAACAGGCAGTTATTACGTCCAATATGAAAGCAGAGTTCATAAAACTTTTTGAAGTTACTAAATAAGCTATTTGTTTGACGAATTTGTTTAAAGACTTTGGTATGTACTACGAAAATTCTTTGATTTTTTATGATAGTAAAGTGCCATTCACCTAGCTTGAGATCAAATGTGTCATGAGATAACCAAACATATTAGTATAAGGTACAAAGAAAGAGCATTTATATTGCCAAGCTTACGGAGGTGTTCTCATTTCATAATTGTAGGATCTTGGAGGAAGATGAAGATACTATTGGTTGAGAGGGAGAGATGAAGGGAAGAGAGAACAAAATTTAGGAGGAAAACTTTTTAAAGCTTTATTCCATTTTCCTCAAATTATACATCAACTTACAACATCTATATATAGGTATTTACATAGGTGTGATGTCTTGTGAAACGACTTAACCTAAATCTAAACCAATCATAACAATCTCTACATTTGTTCAGATTTTACAATGAAAAAAAAAAAAAAAAAAAAAAAAAAAAAAAAAAAAAAAAAAAAAAAAAAAAAAAAAACGGAAGAGAAATATTGAATGCTATCATTCTGTCTTGACCAACCAACAACACCTTGTTCCCCATCCCACTGGTCACCTCCTAGCAGCTGCAACTCCACCTTGCGGCAGATCTTCATGCTTCCCTGTCTTGACCAAGAGTCACTGCTCAACTTGCTTCCATCAAGAACAGTGTCTATCGACATATTTTATCTCATCCTTTCTTCTCTTTTGCACAACAAACCGAGCATCAAGCATCGTCAGTCATTTGCTCTTTCTCCACCCGTTCTCCCCGTCGTCACCTCTCTCACAGCGCGAACACAGCCCTCACTAACAAGATCTTCTGTTCTGGTTCCAGGCTGACCCGCGATCAAGCCATGTCTGCCGCACGCCTTTCTTGCGGTCATTAGCCCAGCGCCTCCCACGAGGCTTATGTGTACACGCAACTCAACCGCTTGTGTCTCCGTCTGCCTACTGTGCCTTACGTGAGTTTGCCCTCGCATCCTGCACACGTCCGATGTCCTGCGCGTCTGTTACGGCCTACGTCTCATGCGCTCCGTGGCCTTGGACTCTTGCCCTCGCGCCACGCACGCCTTTCGCCTCGCCTCGTGAACCTCGCCACTGCAAGACCATTCTCGCCCGTGCGCCCCGCGCACCCTCGCCCGCGTACACCTTTGCCCACACAAACCCTGCACCTTGCGAACCTTCCTGTGCGACCTCCTCTTATTCGATTTCTTGAGCAAGAAACCTCCTCCATCTCCCAACTATGCCACCACTTGTAGGATCTTGGAGCAAGATGAAGATATTCTTAGATGAGAAGGAGAGATGGAGGAAAGAGAATAAAACTTAGGAGGAAAACTTTCTAAAGCTTTGTTCCATTTTTTTCAAATTATACATCAACCTATAACAACTATATATAGGTATTTACATAGATGAGATGTCTTGTAGAATGATTTAACCTAATCTGAACCAATCCTAAGAGTAATGCCTAAAATGGTTGGTGTTTGTATTTGTTGATGGTCATTGAAGCATTAAGTATGAAGGAGGTTGTGATAATTCCTCTTTTGGAATCTTAATTATCTTAATTACCTAACATCGATTAGGGAATGGAAAGGCTGTTAGTTTTCTGTCATGGATGGAAATACATGGATTGTAAGAGGGCTTGTTGCGGCTTTTGTTTGGATTGAAAATCTCAGGATCAAAGTGAGGGTCATTAATAATTGTTTGGCTCATGGAAATGGCTCGTTTTTTCACTTGGAATTGAAGAGAGAAGAAGGGAGCCCCATTTCTTTTCTACCTTTGGAGTGTTGTTGAGGAGAGAAAGTGAAATCAAGTTCCTTTAATTGGAATCTAGATCGACTCAAACTTAATTTATTAGCTCATCAAACTCAATTCACGAGATATTTATTAAATGAAGTCGGAGCAATCTCACTGGTTAACTCAGCAATACTTCTAATCTTACTAGTTTAAATAGTCTATAAAAAATGCTACTGAGGAAACTAGCAGTTGCATAAGAGTTTTGGTATACTCTGTAAAAAAGATGTAAAAACTCTGTTGAAAAACTGGAAATATCATTAAAAATTTCATTTTACCTTTTTTTCCTTTAAACACCAACGCATGTTTTTAAAAACTTCAAAATTTCAGCAAACATTTTCGCAAGTTTTTGACATTTAACCACACCGGACTTAGCTGGGTTGGTGGGCGAGCATGGTTGGGAACCTCCCAACCCATATTCGATTCCCTTCTAATGCGGCGCGACCCCTTAAGTCAGGAGAAAATAACTGCAGGTTCTGCACCTCTGGGGCTGATTTCTGGTAGGCTCGCCGAGAGATTAGTTACGCCGCCATGCGCCTCTTATGGGGTTCCTTCAAAAAAATTTTTTTTTTTTTTTTTACATTTCTCATTAGAAAAATGCTTTTCCATACTTTTATGTCTAATTGCTTACCAACATTTATTGTATAGAAAGCTTATTGGCTAGAATTTTCTGAGCCTAAAATTTTCATGCTAGCTTTACTATTCTTTCTATAAACTATGGAAGTACAAATTTGATCAAAAAGTTGCTGAATATTATGACAACTATAAAATGACACCATCGATCCACTCAAACAAAAAAGTTAGCCTTTGAACTTGTTGAAATGTGAACAATGAGACTTTAACTAAAGAAGGCATCTTTCTTCTTTAAACAAGTTAAAGTACAATAGCCTCTCCACAAAGAAACGAATCTCTGGAGTTCTTTTTATATGTGCTTCCCACCGCTGGATTTCTGAAACATTTCCCAACCCTTACAAAGCAAAGTCCAATAAAAGCTAATGGCTGTAATCAAATAACTTTCATCTTTCAGCATTTTCGTTCTTCCTTTTCTGTATTTAATCTCTTTGTAGAACTAATCACCATTGCATGTGATTTTCTGTAGTTGGTGGAGCTGAAAGTTGGCATGCACTGTCAAGAATGCATCAAAGCCATTAAAAAAGCCATCAAGAAAATTGAAGGTACTTTTTAATCAGCCAAAGTTCATAATTAATAAATTCTTCAACTTTAAGCTGATTTTGGCTATTTTATTTATATATTTGGTTCTGATTAATAATATTATGATGCAGATATTGAGACTTACAGAGTTGATGCAGAGCTTAATAAAATCACAGTTACAGGCAACGTTACAGCTGAGGAGGTGGTTAAGGTTCTTCAGAAAATTGGCAAGACTGCAACTTCTTGGAATGAAGAAGAGAATTCTGTGCTGAATGGCAACGGAGAGCATCCAGAATTTGAAGGTTAAGGTTTCGTTTGAAACAGTTTTCTTACTGCTTTTTTAAAGCAGTTTTTAAAAACTTTTATACTAAAAAATTGTTTTAAGAAGCAGTAAAAAAGCTATTCCAATCGAAACATAAATGCTTTTTAATAAAAAGAGCCAACGGAATGATGAATGATTTCTAGTTCATATAATGGATGATAAATCTTTTGTACTTAGTTGAAGAAATTGAAAACATGGAATATTTTTCAGTCATAATTAAGGTGCAATTAGAAATTCAAATATATAAAATGAGTGAAAATAATTTCATGATTTTCTAAACTATATATTTTTTATTTACAGACTTTAAATAAGCAATCAAATGAGTCATCAAACTGCCGTATTCATAAGGTAAGTAACTATGTTTTTATTCGGAAAATGAAGACATAATATCTTGAAATCCTAAAGAAGTGATAGAACATAAACCTTTTTAGCACTATTTTCTTCACTGCTAAGTTCTTATTTTACTTTTATGAGGTATTTAGTTTCCATTACCCTTTGGATTGCCAATTTTACTCCCCAAATGATGTCGTTCCCTATGTTTGGGGAATGAGTTAAATATACTAGACATACAACATATAAAATATACTTTGTGATGGACGTTGGACGAGCTTTGTGGCATGGGAATTGTTTTCAAGTGAACGATAATTAGGAGATTGTAGTCAGATGATAGTAATTAGAGGATTGTAGTCGAGTTATATTAGACAATAGACTATAGTTGGGTAATGGTGGGTGGATGACGATAGTTAGGCGACTGTGGTTTGATGACAAAGATTGTGTGGTGGTCCAATGGAAATGGTCGGTGGCAGTTTAATGGTGATGAATGAATGGATGTTGGTATGGCATTTGTTTGATGACAATGATCAGGTGATGGTCTGATAGCGATGGTTGAGTGGTGGTCTGATGATAACTTTCGGGTCATGGTCTAACTATGATGGTCTGACATCATCGATTGAGTTGAGGTTTGATGGTGGCGATTGTGCAATGGTTTGATGGGGGTGGCCAGTAGGTGGAGCTTGGAGATTTTTCAAGTGTTTAAGCTCTTTTGAGTCTTAAGTCAAGATCCAAGCCTTCATTCATGTAAGAAAAAGTGGCATATTTATGAATTTTTAAGAGCGTCACGCCATATAAATAAAGTCAGAATCTGAAACACTCTATAGATGTTCTTAATTGATTCCCTCAATCATAAATTGTTCGATCTTTTAAGTGCTGTAATAATATCATTATCAAGCAATTTTGGGCTATTGAAATTGTCTCATTGAGACACTAGATTTATTCGTAAGTATGTGAGATTTGGAAGTCATTTGTTTTTCCAAATAATATCGTGAAGTTTTTAATTATGCTTGAAGTGTTTTATTTGGGCTCATTTGGAGTCAGATCATATCACTTTTTTATGTCAATAAATTCGTCTTAATGAGACGTTCAGTTTGACTAAACATTTGTTGAAATTAGAGTTCGTATGCTTATGAGTTTAATTTTGAAAATTTTCAATTCAACTTTGTATTAAAATTTGTGTCTAATGATGTCAATTTTTGATTACTTATTAATTCTCATAATAATTTAAATACAAAATGACAAAGTATATATTTTTTGTTTACTGGGAGATCATGATTCAAAGTAAAAGTCAAAGATGTTACATCTTATCATGTTGAAAATAAGACAATAGAATTGCCCAACTTCAAGAACAATCTAAAATAGACAACACAAGGTCTTAGTACATGAAAAAAAGCTGATTCATGATTAGATTAAGGTTTCGTTTTGGGCAGCTTTCATTCTGCTTTTTAAAACAACGTTTTAGTACAAAAATCTCAAATTCAAAAAAAAATTGTACTAAAAAGCTGTTTTAGAAAGTAAGAAAAAAGCCGTCCCAAATACGCATTTCTTTTTGTTTATTATAAAGGTGCTTTAAGAAGCAGAAAGAAAGCCGTCCCCACATTGGGAAGGCTTTCTTACTACTTTGTACAGCTGCTATAGTGAAAATAAAATTTTAAAGTTATTGTAGAAAATAACTTTCTAGTAGAAATTTTTTTTGAAAGCAGCAAAGAATATTTGCTAAATAAAAATTATGATTGTAGTCTGAAAAGTAAAACCGCAAGAAAGTTATCCCATAGGAAGCAGTAAACTCATCATGATAAATCAATAAATAAAAAGAATACTTATTTTGGAGAAATTTGCATTAAAATATTTAGGAAGGTATGCTCAATAATATATATATATATATTTTTTTTTTCACCTCACACAAATAATTCAAAATTTAACTAATCAATACTCTTAATTGGTAATTTTTTTGGATTTTAATAATTTGAGAGTGATGTAAATATAAAACAAAATATAAAATAAAAATATTTGATTATTACATATATATTAACTTGATATTTTAAAAGTATTACATATTTGTAACAGTCATGTTTCTAATAATTTTTTGATGTAATTATGTATTCATCTTTTGCCCTTTCTACTATAAAGCACATTACATAATATATTTTCTTATCAAAATTGGACATGTTAACTAAAACATACATTTTTAGAGTAGAAATTTTATAAATGTCTCAAACATCTATCTATTTAACAAGCGAATAATTAACAAATTATAGAAGATTGAAAAAAACTTATGTCAAAATATGCGGATAGACTTATATTAGTGCTATATAAATTTTTTATATGTAGTACTAATCTCAAAGTAAATCCAATGATTTTCAAGTCAATATTGATATAAATTTTCTCCTAATATCTTTAACACCACAATAACCTTTAAACATTGAGAGAAGTAATTACTTAGGTTAAAGTAAATAAGTTCTTAGGTCAATGAATGAGAATGATAGGGTAAAAACTAAAAAGTATGATAAAGAGCGTCTTCAAATGAAATCGATCTTTCTAAGCAAAAAATAAATAAATTATAACGTTCTACATTAGATTAAGGTTTCATTTGGGATAACTTTCTTATTACTTTCTAAGACGGCTTTCTAGTACAAACATTTTTTTAACTAGAAATTTTTGTACTTGGAAGCTGCTTTAAAAAGCAGTAAGAAATTCATCCCAAACGAAACCTAAGTTTACTCTTATTCTCTCGCTTTCTCTTGCATGATTTTGAAGAAATTCTATATCTTTAACTTTATTTTGTAATTGATATAAAATACGAATAATCAATCAAATTTTATGTTGCATTAATCCAAAGCACTTCCACGCTATTTTTTCTTATGACTTCTTGGACAATGCAAGTTGTATTGGACTTTTATTTATAGGCATCATCTTAGATATAGCTTGCTTGATGGTGCTAATTTGTTATTGTTTATCTGAATTAAATTTATAAGGGATTAAAATGATAGAGTTGCCAAAAACAATTGACGCCACTTGCTCACCAAAATAAATTGTTAATGACCCTTTAATTTTGTAATATTTTGATTGACAAAATGTTACAAATTATGGGGCAGGTGCATATGCTTCATTATTATATATATATTTTTATTTATAATATACAATTATAATTCTCTTTTATTTTATTTTTATTCCTAATATTTCACTATTGTTTTTATTTTTATTTTTTTAAAAAATTATTTTTATTTATAGGTACTTTTAGTTCAACCTCTATCTTTTATTTTGCATGCCCAAACTCACGCAAATTTATTTTTACTATATATTCTTTAATAGATTATGCATTCATTGCTATTGCTAATGTATAAACATTTGTGATACTATTCATTTGTAGCTATCGTGAACCCCCACCCAGACGCTAAAAAGAAACATATTTTTGCGGTTGTAAATGATGTTGCACCGTTCATAGAAACTGATTTTTTGAGCGAAAATAAAGATGAGCAAGAATCTACATCAAGCAATTTTTTTTTTGTGTTAGAAATGGAGTTCGGCTGGAGTTGAGTTATTGTTTGATATGATTATTATTGTATTTTGAAGTTAAAAATGAGGAGTTCGGTTGGAGATGCCCTAACTTAACTTTCTCAAATTTTACATCAACTTCAATATCAGTAATATTTTTAGTGCTTAACATCTAGAACAAATGTAAAGCATTCATTGTTAAGCAGAAAAAAATGAATGAAATGTGTCTCATGCTTCTTAATTTAGTCAAATTAATGACCAAATAAAGGCAAAGCAATAAGAAAACTTATATATATATATCAAAATGGTCGTTGACATATCTTTTTATAATTGCTCAAGAGGCATCTTATATAAATGTCCCCCTAATTGTTAGACGGTGCAACACCCTCACAACAATTTTCAACAAAATAGTTTATCTTTGCAAATAATTTCGCCTTGTATTTTTCTCATTTCCAATAATTGTTCTCTCGAATTATCTTACATACTTATCAGTATTTATGAGAGTGGTATAATCTTTGACCTCCGTTGTGAAGATTGCAAGTTCGAGACTTGGTGGTGGCCTTGATTATGAGTTGAGCTTTGCGTTGTGCACCATTTTCTCTAATTTACTTAGCTAATTTTATGCGTGATATAAAAAATTAAAATATATTGTTATTTATAAACTCAATTTCTTGCCCATAAAGATTTATTTTCAGTTTATAGAAAATATATACACCCAATATACATTTATATTCTAGATGCATCAAATTTTTATTTATTGTATTTATAAAAATATTTCTCAAATAAAATTAACACTCCACATTTAATTGATCCACCTAACTAAGTTGATTTTTAATTTTTTTTCTTTATATGTGAGTGTGGCCACACTTTTATATCTATATGATATGATATTTTTAATAAAGAATAAATTCAAAAGGTTGGTGTATAGTACATTAATACACATCATAATTAAGGTAAATTATCAAGAAGAATTTATCTTTTTTTTTTAACGGGATATTCACCTGTTGCTACCCCAAAAAGATGTTTGACGACGTGACTAATCATCGACTAACCTAGAAGAGACACCCACTCCAGAAACATTCTGTCCCGCACTTGATTGAACTCCATTCAAGAAGCGCTAAGGGTCGGGGGTTCCCAATCATACTCGCCCACTAACCAGATTAAATAACATTGGTTAATTTATCTAATTTTCTTAGTGAAACACATAAAAAAATAGTTCATTTTCATATCAAATGTGTGTGATAGAAATGAAATATATGAGTGGTAGGAAGAAAATATGAGCGGTATATTTGATATTAAAATAATATAGTGTGGTATGTATGTAATATTTAAATTTTAGGTATTAGATATGTAAATATGATGGTATAACCGTATAAATTGATATATAGGTAAATTTCTCAAAAAAAATTTTATGCGGCTCTCAATGTAGAAAGATATAGCTACTGTCATTGAAGCGCCAGTCTGTCCAATTAATATTAGACAGCGACAACCAAAACAAATCATCTCCATGTGGCGCTCCCTCACAGGTTACATATCATGTATGCGTTTTTGACTAGATTAGTTGTTTATTGCCCCCCATTTGATACGAAAACCGAGGACTGCGCCTATAATATTAACAAATCATACCGTCCACCCACAAAAAAACAACTATCACCCGGAGAATTCAAATCTCCACACGGCGAAGTCCCTCAAGTACATTCTATACGCTAATAATATACTTTTTCCAAAAAGTATAAAAAAAAAAATCCACTACTGCGTTCCCGTCACCTTCCTCCACCAAATCTAACCCAAATAGTTAGCCTTATTTTCTTATTGTGCATCTCGATGAGGACACTAGTTAGTATAGTGAGATCACGGGCGAGTGAGCAGAACTTTAATATATTCTTAATCCCAATTTTTACATAAATTAATTAAAATTTGAGAATACTAACAACTTTGTCTGGAAGAAATATATTAACTCATGATGTTGCGAAATAAGTTTTTATCGGCCGGTTAAGTCTTGGTTTGTGATTTTTTTTTAAACAGTTTTTTTTATAAAATTAAAATCTGTTTATTAAAAAAATAGTTCCAAATAAAATTTAAGTTTTCATTTGAGGTAAATTTTTATCATTATTTTTTTACTATTTAAAAAAAATTATACTAATAAGATACTTTAGAATTTAAAAAACAGCTTTCTAATACATAAATATTTTGAAAAGAGTGACAAAATAATGACCATATAGTAATTAACAAGATAAATTAAAAAACAGCTTTCTAACACATAAATATACAAAATAATTATGATTTTACAAACAAAACATTAGCATGTTAAATATTCCATACAAATTAAACTAAAATAAACTTAAAAGCTTAATAATTTAATTTAAAATTAAATTTAAAAGTAAATCCATTGACATTTTGTTTATCCGATATCATTTTTAAGTTGGAGAAATTAATACCCGGTCACTAAGCTTTCTTGACGGGCCCGGCTGCGCAAACACCGAATTTGTTTCCACGTGTCGCTCATTAACAAGTTACATATCGTGTTTTGCACTCGACTAAGATAGTGAATCCGACGGATAAAAATGCATGATCAGTTGTTGACGCCCCCATGTGATACCAAAACTGAGCAAACTCCGCGTTTAATATAAAACATACCACAACATGAACCCCGCCAAAAAACCATCACCAATCATATAAGGAGCTCACCGAATTCAAATCTTCTAAACGGCGAAGTCCCGTTTTTGAGTCCGATTGTAATGTTCCATTTCCTTATAAAAGCAAATAAAGAAAGAACCTCCCCGAGAAGTGACCGCGTGCTTATCAGGAGGAGGTGAGGACTCCGGACAGGTCCTTGCAAGTACGGTACAGTCTATACGCTAATACTACGTTTCCGTCACCCTCCCCTCTCCTCTCTAGAGAGATATCTCACCGAAATAAATAGCTTTATTTTCTTATTCTGCACAGAAAAGAATATTGCAGTAAGCTCACCGCGAGTGAGCAGAACATTATTAAATTCTTAAGATTATCACGACAATTCGACCAAAATCGGCGTTATCATTTATCAATAATATAAATGCATTTACCCCCCCTAAAAAATCTAAATGTCATTTTTGTTAGTTGATTGGCTAAATTTTGCAGAATATTATACACTTCTATTTGCGAAGAAAATTTTAAATTTATCAATTACGATGTGGGAAAAGAGTTTTTGTACACTGGTTAGAGCTTTTGATTTTTGAGTTTGTCGTCTCTTATGTATCAAATTTTTTTAATTGACACAGTTATGAGTGCTAAATATTGCCCTTAGCTTATGTTTTATTTATTTTGAAATTTAAAAAAAAATAATCCCTAGAATTAATGATTTATTTACTATAAAAATCATTTAAACTATTTTAAAATAAACATGATTGATAAAAAGATTATATTTAATTTTGATAATTCACCTAAAATTGCTTTCATTGAGCACGATCTTGAGGTGTATTTAAATTAGAAACATATGAAATTAAATGAGGGACCATTCGAACTCCAATTTAACTTATAGTCAAATTGAATATCTCGAAAGACGAACCTAATGACACTAAAATTTGTCTAATCCACTACCAAGTGGGTTCAAATCAAAAGGCATAAAGCATATTTGGATGGTTCAAAGCATGAATTGGATGGTGATTGATATCTTAATATAGTATGCTTATAGTCAAATCGAGTGGCTCGATGAGACGAGTCTAACGAGCCCAAGATCGCTTAATTCTATCATCATTTGGGGATATAAATGTTTGACAAATGCTCTATGATCTAAGGTATAACTTTAGGTCGTTTGATGGAGCACTTAGAATTCCCAAACGGTTGCCAAACTTTGGTTCGACCATCGTCAGACCATCGCTCGGCTGTCAACTGCCTTCGGACTTTCACTCGACTGCTGACGGTTGCTAGAATTTTGCTTGACCACTGTCGAACCACCCCCATTTGCCGTTGAACTTCCACGCGTCTGCTGACTTCCCCTAGACCACCTCCCGGCTGCCGATTGTTACAGGACTTCCAGTACTCGGGTGTCGACTGTAGCCAAACTTTTGACTGACCATCATCGTACTGGCCTTCAACTGTCGGTGGACTTTTGTTCGACCATTGACTGCCTCTCAAATTCCATCCGGTAACCGACCACCGTCAGACTTTTCCCGACCACCATCACCAGCCAACTATGGTCTGTTTGAACACATTGCCTACAAACTACTATCCCTCTAACTTAAGTCGTCTACAAACTATGGTGCCTTCTACCACCGTCATCAGTCATCAAGAGATTATGGTCCTTCCAACCACCGTCGCTTAGTTATCACGGCCCAGCCTACCACTGTCGCCCGCAGCCTATGGTACCTCCGACCTCCGTAGCCCTCGACTATAGTTCCTTTAACCACGATCGTAGGCTGATTTTGGTCCGTCTGATCAACATCGCCTGCAGACTACGATCCCTTCAAACGTACCAGAGTTGCCCACCGACTTTGGTCAGTCCGACCAACTTTGCCCACCAACTATAATCCCTATGACCAACATCTCTCGTCGACTACGATCCCTATAACCTTCTTCGTTCACCGACTAGGATCCCTCCGACCACCGTTGTCGATCGACTACGATCCGTCAGACCATCGTCGCCGATCTACTACGTTCCATCAGACCATCGTCGTCCGCCGACTAATGTCCCTCTTATCTTCGACACCCTTCGACCTTAAACGTATGTTGATTATGGTGTCTCCAACCTTTGTTGCTCACCGACTACGATTTCTTCGACCACTATCACCCACCAATTAAGATCCCTTCAACCACAATGAGCCAAGGCCTTTCCCCCGAGGAAGGGCACCATTTGTAATCAATTAGAAACCATAGTGGAATCATTTTAATTATATCAGACCCTATGATTTTCTCCATTTTTAGGGTTCCACGTAAAAATCTTGGTGTCTCTTAAGACTCACATTCCTCTCTCTTTTTTGTATTTGTGCTAGATCTTCATACAAATTTTGGACGCTAAACTCTATATCATTTTACCGTCGCTAATGTTCTAATTCGCAATAATTTTTAAAATCAATTTAATATTTGTAATAGTTATGATAATTAATTTAAATCATAAAATTTGGGCTCACTTGTAATTTTTTATTTTTAAATTTTTTTGTGTGTAAAATTATAATTAATTTTAATTAAATTGAGCCATTCTTAGCATATTAAAAAAAAAAAGAATTTTATATAAATTTATTCAGAAGAATATATCATTTCCCTATAATATTTCGCCAAGGGAAAAAGATCCAGATAAAATATTTCGCTGATTATTATTTAAATAAAAAGATTGGGTGAGATGCTGTCCTCCGTTTCCAGCCGTCCGTGGGACCATTCGTACCTGTCCGCACTGATGAGGCGTCCTCCTTCCCCACATAGTTCGGCACCGAATACTTTAGCTTCCGGAGAGGAAGTTCCATTTTTACCCTTTTTCCGTCTCAATCCGTACGGTACCCGATGTTTCTGATTTATGAGGTTAGAATTACACGGAAGTCCTTGCCTTTCTGGATTTTGTAGGGAATGTAATACCGGACTCTAGTTGAAAATTGTATAATATAAAATATCTAAAGAGCTATTGTTTTGTGTAATGCTATTAATTATTTATACTAAAAATAGAATATAAATTGAATAATTTTCATTTGAAATATTTGAGATTTTAGATCAAATTTAAAAATAATTTTTTTATGATCAATTGAAAATAAGATGAATTTATTTATTTTATTAAAATTTTCATCTAAATATATATTTTTATAATGATATATTATTTAAAAATTTAGCCATGGAGAATAGCTATTATTTTTTTATATTTTATATTTTAAACAATTTATTCTTATATTGCTATTAAATAGAGCATAAGTTTTTTTTTGAGCCTATTCTTATATTTTGGTGGGTGCATTAAAATTTTCTCTTATTTTTTGAGAAATTGAAAATTTGTAGTATGGCTTATTTTGAAAAATTGTATGCAAATTGTTTTTATTAAATGAAATTAGGATAATTTGCAAAAGATAAGCTGATAAGGGCGGTTGTGCAAAAAAAGAATATATTGTTTGAGGTTAATTCGTAGTTATTCTAAGTACAGTCTTTGGGCATTAGCGTAATTTCCTAATCAGCTTTCTTTCTTCTCACTTATCTTCCTCTTGAAACCTTGGAACCACCCACAGTTTCTGTTAAAGTTAGTTGCAACTCTTTTTATTTCTGCAACTCTTACGCCCTTCTATAATTCACTAGCAGAAGGAAGCAACCCTAATCTTCAACATCTCTTGCCATCAAGTTCTTCATGGGAAAAAATATAACCCTTCACAGCAGAACTTGCGTCTCCGAAGCCCTGGAAACCCAAGTCCCGGGCGTCGTCTTCACGAAACCCTCCGGTGATCCTTGCCCCTTGAAGAAGCACCGATTCTCTGAAGATCCCAAGCCCAACCTCTTTGACTCCCTCTCCGAAGAGCTCCTCTTCCTGATCCTCGACCATCTTGATTCCAATGACTTGGACAAGAAATCCTTCTCACTCGTCTGCAAATCCTTCTACGGTGCTGAATCACGTCACCGGAGAACCCTCCGCCCTCTTCGCTTGGATCTAATGCCGGCCGTCCTCTCTCGCTACCTTTCCATTTCCCACATCGATCTCTCCTGCCGCCATCGCGTCTCAGACGGCGTCCTCGCCTGGATCGCCATTGCAGTTGGACCCTCACTTCTCTCCATCGACCTGTCGAGGTCGAGGTCATTCTCGCATTTCGGACTTGGTAGCTTGGCGGCTGGCTGCTTGTCGCTGGTGGAAATAAATCTGTCGAACACGAATGATCTGAGCGACGCGTCGGCTGCGGCCATTGGGCGGTTGAGGAATCTTGAGAAGCTGTGGTTAGCGAACTGTAAACTTTTGACCGACATGGGGATTGGTTGCATCGCTGTGGGGTGCCGCAAGCTGAAGTTGCTCTCTTTGAAATTTTGCCTGGGGTTGACTGATTTGGGAATCGGGCTGGTGGCTGTGAAGTGCAGGGAGATCCGAAATTTAGATCTCTCGCACACGACGGTACGGATATATACTGCACTTGTAAAAATCTCTTTGAAATTTCCAATAAATGAGGGTTACGACGTTGTTTAGGAATGATTTCTGATCGAGCTCAGATTTGATGGAGAGAACTTATGCTAGGGTTTGCTTTTGTCGATAGCAATAAAAATTTGAAGAACTACTCATTTTTTTAAATATTTTCAGGTCACAAATAAATGCCTTCCAGCAATCATTCAGCTACCTTATCTTGAGAAGTTGTCCTTAGTGAATTGCCATTACCTTAACAAGGAAGGCCTTTTAACTTTGAAACTGGGATCCAAGTCCCTCGAGGTACTAACTATTTGTTTTGATTACTCGTTTTCATTTGTAATATTAAAAGCAATTTAATTTATGAAGATGTATCTTATGTATTTATATATCTAATTCCTAATTTTTTACATTTTCTTATATGTGGATTTATACGCAAACCACAAGATTCTTTTTTATTTTGTTTATAACACCTAAATCTTTCTATGTATTAATATAATTAAATTACATACAAGTATCACTAATATTAACTTATATAAAAATAAAACACACTTTTAGTGCATTTAGATATCAGGGTGGTATGTAAATAAACATAAAAAATTTAGGCATTAGATATATAGAAATATAAGAATTTTGATGTATTTTTATAAATCTCCCCTACTATTAGTGATGTTTTTGACCGGATTTTAAAACAAGGATGCTATATAAGTAAACATAGAGATTAAGACTTCGTTTGGGACGACTTTTTTACTGCTTCTTAAAATAACTTTTGAGTACAAAATTTCAACTTTTATACTAGAAAGTTGTTTTAGTAGCAGTAAGAAAACCGTCCCAAACGAAGCCTAAGGCATTGGATATATAAATTTATAAAAATTTTGTGGTCTGCTTGTAAATCCCTTAATTTATTATTAGACTAGATGTGAAGGGCATTTCTTGGTTATGGGTACAGGGAATGTTGATGATGCTGGTCCTAGGGAATAATGCTTCTAATATTCTGCAGTTTCATTCTTTTTTTTGTCACAAAATTACTTTATTAACAAAGATGCTATTGTTTTTTTTATTCACTTTGAGAGGAGGATGGGGTCCCAACCCTATGTGGCAAGGTTTGTTAATCCTCCTCCATTCATTCTTTTGATAGGGCTTTGCATTTTACACCACTCAAGATGCAAATATTTTTACCAGCCTGATTTGAAGCAAATTATGCAATTGCCCAATGTTTTAAAGAAATTGGGTTGCATATCCTTGGAACTTTCTATTTTGGGTATGCCTTATTACAAACATGTATTGCTCACCTCTTAATTGTTAGGAAGTAAACAATGCAATGGAACAAACAAGAAAGGAACAAACAAGAAAAGAAAACAACGGAAATGGACACTAGTATTTAATGTGAAAAATAAAAAATTAGGAAAAAACACTGAGCCACATCACATAAAAAAATTACTATGAAAATGGAAGAAATTATGTAGATCTCTTTTCTCTCAGTCTCTTCTTATCTCTCTTCACATGTATTTTCATTCTTTACTCAAAACAGACAGAGAGACAATTATACAACCCTAATGGATGCAAACCTTAAAGTTAAGCATGAAAATGAGAAAGAAAACTTCCCATCCCGACTCATAGAGTTGTGGCTGGCTCTTCATTCCCTGTTTCTAAGTCACCCCATAGTGCTATGGCGTTGTAACCTACAACACCGCAGCGCTTGAGTATACAACGCCTTAGCATTACACAATAGTTCGGACACAATAATATCCCACACAAAACTAACATTAATAATTCAACATCGAGTCTTTTAAAATAAGAGAAATCATCGTAGAGCTAGTCCTTTAGGAGGATTAGATTCTTCAAATCTGATGGTTTAATTCAATAAAAATGTCACCTTTCTGGACCCTAAACCTGTCTTGTCTGTTTGCACTCCTGGGAACAGGCTTGCCGTATTATATGTGGCATGAAAGTTTGTGTATTTAAGAAATGATCCATTACTTAGTCAAGAGTCGCTTGGAATAAGAGCTTGTTCACGTTTTGCGGATAATGAAATAATATCATGAATCTTGTATTTGTGACAGGTACTGGATTTAAATTGTCCATATGTTGGTGATAATGCATTATATAGCATAGTGATGGGTGCTGTCAACTTGCGTCAACTAATACTGGCGCACTGCGTCCCTGTAAGTCTTTCCATTCGTTCAACTATTCAATTTTACAAAATTATGGACCTAATATGATCAGAAATGTTCACTTTGAATCAATTTCTGGACTCAGGTTACCGACCGTTTGGCTAACAGCTTGCATAGACTTGCCAAGCTGGAGACAATAAAGTTGGAATGTTGCCATATGACCACTCCGGGGCTTCTCGCCCTTGGAAGTTCTTGCAATTCTTTGAAAGAGTTGAGCTTAGTCAAATGCTTTGGGGTGACTGATGAAGGTCTTTCCTTTGTTGTGTCAAAGAACAAAGGTTTAACTAAATTAGACATCACTTGCTGTCGGACTATAACGGACATCTCAATTGCTAGCATCACTAGCTCATGCACATCTCTAATGTCACTGAGGATGGAGTCATGTATTCTGGTGTCTAAGCATGCATTTCGTATGATTGGAGAACACTGCCCTCTGCTGGAGGAGCTTGACCTTACTGACAATCATTTAGATAATCAAGGTGTTTCTTTCGTTAAAATTAAATTGTCAATATGGGCGGATCCACCTTAAGGCCAGGGGTTGAAAAAATAAAAAAATTCTTTATTATATGATTTTTTAAGGTAATTATACTATGATTTTTAGGAAATTACCCCAACATAAGTAAACACATTGTGTAGAGATGTTATTGTTAGCGAACAATGAATCAAATATAACGAGAAATAATAAAGATAATCCAAAAATAGGGATCAAGAGGAAGCACCATCGGAACAAATATTTGTTGTAAGGATATTTATGAAAAAAAATTCTACAATTTTACTTATAAGTTTGTCCCCCTAAAAAGTAAGGCTGGATCCGCCCTTGAATTTGTCTACACTTTTTACTCCTTTTTCTCCCTTCTTAATCTTACTTGTTAATGCAGGACTCAAGTCAATCTCGAATTGTCGCAAACTCTTGATCTTGAAGATTGGGTTATGTATGAATGTTAATGATGAAGGCATTATTCAAATTGGCAGGGGTTGCCCAATGCTTCAGGAGCTCGATTTGTACAGGTTTGTTTTTCCCTCAGTTTGCGTTAGATCAACAGGCGCCAAATTTTAACCGACGTGATTTTATTGACGCAGGTCTATTGGATTAACCGACGCTGGTGTTATCGCAATAGGCCAAGGTTGCCCAATGTTGCAAACGATTAACCTATCATATTGCATTGAAATTACTGATAATGCTTTAAGATCATTATCCAAATGCCCCAAGTTGAACACACTGGAGCTTCGAGGATGCTTTCGAGTTTCAAATTATGGCCTTGTTGCCATTGCACTGGGATGCAAAGAAATTGTTAAGCTTGATATCAAAAAATGTTATGACATCACTGATGTTGGCATGGTTCCTCTTGCTCACCTTTGCAGTCGTCTTCGTCAAGTATGATTATAGATTATTGTTCTTTTCTAATACATTTTTTTTTTCCCTACCAAAAGAACAAAAATAACATTCATTTCTGCTTTCTCTTTTCAGATAAATCTCTCGTATACTTCCGTATCAGATATTGGGCTTTTAGCATTGGCAAGCATCAGTTGCTTACGAAGCATGACAATTTTACATCTTAGCGAGTTGACGCCAAATGGGTTGGCGACTGCACTTCTGACATTCGGTGGTTCAAAGAAAGTGAAACTCAACTTGTCATTTAAATCTTTGCTTTCCCAGAAATTAATCACACACTTGGAAGAACGTGGATGCATATTTCAATGGATGGACAGAGCCTTTAAGGTATTTTATCAAATGTAGCCTATCTTGATTTGTTGGTTTGAAGTTTTAGCTATAAACTAATAGATATTAAATTCAAAGTTTATATATTAGAAATCAACCTATACAGATTCATGAATTCATGATTACAGATTCTAAGTTGTCTTTGCGGTTGCAGGCTGAAGTGGATGACAATGAAGTGTGGAAACAAAGGTCTCAAGACTTGGTGACCGTTGTGTGAAGGAATTTGCCTCATGATAAGAACAAAGGTCTTTATTCAATAGGGTTTAGGGCGGGCAAAATTCCAGTACAGCTTATTTTGCATCCTTTTGCTGACCTGTTTACTGAACTTTCTTAACTTGTAGTCTTGTTTGTCTGAGATTTGGTTGAGCCTATTAATGTCACTCAACTGACATTGTGTTGCCACTATCGCTTTACTATAGTCTCCTCATTATCATTACTCAACTATGGCTCCTTGATTGTCGTCAGCCGATCATCATCATTTAACTACTATTACTTGACTAGCTAGTTTCTTGACCACCCTCAACTATGATCTCTAGACCACATAACCTAATATTATTTCTTGACTACAATCTTTTGATTATTATCATTTGTCTATAGTCTCTTGACCATCATCACCAAAAAACTATCACATAACTATTATCTCTTTGTGATCTCATTGCCAAGAACATCGAAGCACACTATTGACTATAAGATTGATGTGCATAATTGACACAACTGCTGACAGCCACCAATTTTTTAGCTCGTCGTCACCAATAGTATTGACACATGTTATAGCTTATAAGGTTGATGCTCATCATCGACGCACACCATCACCTATAAGGCTAATGCATGCAATAAAAAATTGCAGTTGCTTATATATTTTATGCACATCATCTCTTCTCCCTAAAGGAGAAGCATCAAACATACCGCAAGTAATATCTTGAAGATAACCAAAGCCTTAAGACTCACAACTTTCACCGTTGAACCCATCATATATAATTCATGTATACTATATTGTATTAACACATCTCCAATTATACGAAAGGAAATCATTCATAATCAATAAGATGCACTAATGGAATCATTTCAATTGAGTTGGATGTTGTAATTCTTTCCCCATAAAGAATTTAATAGATCATAGCATTTGCTTTCATTCCTAAAGTATATCCATTTTGATTCGAATATGAGCTAGCTTGATTCAATCTAGGTTAGCCTCAACTTATACTAGGTTCAATATTTGCTAGTCTTGGTATGTCATTCAACTCATTAACTTCTTGATTTGATTTTCGAGCGATTTTTTATCATTGAGTCAAATTCATAGTCCTAATTTGTATAAGAAACAACTTAGTGTTACATCTATAACATATTTAGGTAGTATCTCATAAGTAATTTTGTTTTTTTAATAAATTAAATTAATTTAAAATTATTTAAAATAATTTTTATGCTATTTTATTATAATTTATATGAGCATGTGCACCAAGCAGACCAACTACATCCACCATCAGCCAACTATGGCCCACCATTAGACTACATACAGGGGCCACGAGGCCAAGCCCTCTTTAAAATAATAAAATAAATTTACATATCTGATATTCAAGAAAAAAACCTTTATCTAATTATCAATTTTATTTTATTTATGATCAAATTAAATTAAAACAAAAAGAACTAAATAAAATAAGAAAAAAAACTAAAAGTGAAAATAAAAGTAATATAGAGTGACTCATAATTCAAGGTCACTATAAGGATTAATTTTGTTTTAAACCAGCTGGCTTGATATTTTTAGATCAAAGTTTTTTTTTTTTTTTTTCAAAAGATTTTTTTACTAAAAAGTAGCTTTACAAAATAGCAAAAAAATTATCCCAAATAAAACCCAAATCAAATTATGTTGTGACATGCATTTTTATATTAATTTTATTTTCAAAAGTATAGCATTTACAAGAAGGTTTGTGATTTAGCTTGTGAAAATGGAAGACTGCTTTGGATTTCCTAACAAGAAAATTAAATATAGAAAGAATTAGAACACCATTCGTGAGCTTCAAATTCAATCCTCAAATGGCTTTGCCTCTTCCCAGCATGAGATTGATCATCAACCGAAGCCTACTAATGAATGACATGATGTCCATCAGCTAATAACATCCAATGTCAATTTTCTTGATAGCATAATCTCCCTTTTTGTTAGGATAAAGACTGATACGTCATCATAAAATTATCTTAACCAGACACGAATCTCGGCGCAAAAATCAAGTTGGAAACTTCAAAAATTAAATCCGGGAGCATCTGAACTCCGATGTCAGCGAGCTTATATTCAAACTGAGCGCCTCGAAAACACAAACCCAACGACACCAAATTCAACTCAATCCGAGCCTAAATGAGCCCAAATCAAGAGTCCGAAGTGCTATTGGAAAGCTCGTACCAAAAATTGAGTTACCAAACCGTCTCCGATTTTAACAAGCTTATAGTCGAATCGAACGGCTCGACAAGACGAATCCAACGAACCCATGATTGCCGAATTCCAACATCACTAAGGTCTTCAAATGTCCAACGAATGGTGCATGATCGAAGGATTCAATATCAGTCGTCCATTTGGCCACTCCCTATTTGCCCTTGATCTCACACCTATTTACGGGAAAGCCACTCCAGAAAAACTATAAATAGACCCCTCATTTCTCATAAGAGGGGACCAAAGCAAGAAGAATAGAAGAAGAATATAAGAAGAAGAGAAAGAGAAGGAGAATCAGCCTCCTCCTCGACTACCGCCGGAGTTGTTTCCGCCGCCTGAATAATGTCGGAATTCTGCCAAATATTCAGGTGAAGCCGGAACTCTGCACAACTTTGTAAATGAATTTCAATTCAGAAGAAACTCATTGTAATATGTTCGTCCTAACTTGTGGGACGAATCAGCCTCTTGTATCCCAAACGACACTAGTGGAACTTTTCAACTGGGCGTGGCCCCGTGGTTTTTTCCTTTTTTAGGGTTTTCCACGTAAATATTATGGTGTTCTTTTATCTTCTGTTTGTGTGTGTTAGATATTCGTGCAACGCTTAGAAGAAAATTTTTTAACTCTACCACCGCGTATATTCTAGCCCGCAACAAAGGCTAAGGTTTTGTTTGTGATAGCTTTACTGCTTTATGAAGTAACTTTCTAGTATAAAAATTTCAAATTCAAAAATATTTTTTAACTAAAAAACAACTTCAAAAACCAGTAAAAAAACTGTCCCAAATGAAACCTAAATTGATCACCAGACTTTTAACGCTCCATATGAGAACAACTAATGTTATAGTTCGATCAATATTAGTCATTGATGTTCGATGCCCATCTTCTTTTATCTTCTGTTTGTGTGTGTTAGATATTCGTGCAACGCTCAGACGAAAATTTTTTAACTCTACCACCGCGTATATTCTAGCCCGCAACAAAGGCTAAGGTTTTGTTTGTGATAGCTTTACTGCTTTATGAAGTAACTTTCTAGTATAAAAATTTCAAATTCAAAAATATTTTTAACTAAAAAACAACTTCAAAAACCAGTAAAAAAACTGTCCCAAATGAAACCTAAATTGATCACCATACTTTTAACGTTCCATATGAGACAAATGCCCAACGAACGGTGCATAATCAAAGGATTCGATATCGGCCGTCCGTTCGAAACACTCCCAATTCGCCACTGATCTCACGCCTATTTACGGGCTAAGCCACTCCAGAAAAACTATAAATAGAGCCCTCATTCTACACCAAAGGGACGGAAGTGAAGAGAGAGAAGAAGAAGAGGAGAAAGGGGAAAAGGAGATTCCTCACCTGCTCGACCACCGCCGGAGCTCTTCCTGCAGCCTGAAGACGCCGGAACTCTGTCGGATTTTTAAGAAACGTAGGAATTCTGCACAACTTCCACGTGATGCTGAAATCCTTCCCAATTAACAACAGAGTTCCCTCCTGACGCCGAAACTTGTAAATGAATTTCAATTCAGAAGAAACTCATTGTAATATGTTCGTCCTAACTTGTGGGACGAATCAGTCTCTTGTATCTCAAACGACATTAGTGGAACTTTTCAACTGGGCGTGACCCCGTGCTTTTTTCCCTTTTTCAAGGTTTTTCATGTAAAAATCCTACTGTTCTTTTATATTCTGTTTGTGTGTGCTAGATATTCGTGCAACGCTCAGATGAAAATTTTCTAACTCTACCGCCGCGTATATTCTAGCCCGCAACAAAGACTAAGGTTTTGTTTGTGATAGCTTTATTACTGCTTTATGAAGTAACTTTACAGTATAAAAATTTCAAATTCAAAAATATTTTTAACAAAAAAACAGCTTCAAAAAGCAGTAAAAAAACTGCCCCAAATGAAATCTAAATTGATCACCAGACTTTTAACGTTCCATATGAGAACAACTAATGTTATAGTTCGATCAATATTAGTCATTGATGTTCGATGCCCATCTTCTCAGTCGCCTAATATCTCAATATATCAATAGAACAATCATGCTAAATACATACCACGAAGTTTCTACTCATGTGGTCTCCTTTCCTCTCAGGAAAATAACAAAGCTGAATGTCCATCTTCTCTAGATTTTGTATTTCCCTAATCATCCATCATATGATATCCTATATTGGTTTCCTAGACTCCTTTTCAATCAAACGAGCAACCAAGTTGTTTATCCAATAATGCCAACTTTTTAACCTTCACCTTCAGCTATTGTCCAACGCTTATTGACATCATATTGGTCTCCCAATCTCCCATTTTATTAGGAGAGATACTAAGTCAATCACATACTGCAATCTTACTCATTACATTTTCCATCAACTATTATTTGATACATATTGATGATTGATATTCAATATTAATATTAAATTTTTTAGTCATCCAATTAATGTCCCATCGTATTGAGATATCAACCAAGTTGATTGCCCGATGCTAGTCAACCATGGAAGTACTACTAATATCCAAATTCAATATTAATTTTAATCTCTCTTGCATTTAATTTTTATCTTATATTACTACTAATTAATATCCATTTAGATATAAAATCTTAGGTTATAGTTGAAAATTGAAAGAAGAGCCGAGTTAGTTTACTTGTGATTCTTCCTATAACTTTTGTGCTATAATTAACATCACATATTTCCCCCATGTTTTTCTTTTTCATTTCATCAAAGAAATTCCATGAATCAGATAAAGTCTGTGTCGCGTTTTTTTATATTTGTAATTAAATTATGTAAATAGATAAGCCAAAGTTTCAATTTTTGTTATAATTAATAATGGTGAATTAAGATTTTGTGTTCTTAGTGGTGGCATTTCAACTCGTAAGACATTTTCATGACATCTTTTTCATGAGTAATTTGGATTGTTTTGTTTCAACCTAATTGTTTAGTAGCATAGATATAAAAAATGTGTGGGAAGAATCATTTAGGATATCTCTATTTGGTGTTTAGGATCTTCTGATGGATGAGCGAGGAGGAAGAATGACTTAGAGCCAACGAGAAAGTTAGCTTGCATTATGTGGTACTTGATGTGGGTGATATGTTAATTGCATCTTTCACAAATATGATGTACATATAATCTACATGCACATGCCTATGTACGTTTTAGACTTTTCCTAACATAATAAAGTCGATCAATTTGTTTGACTTTTTAGTTGTTTTCAGTATTAACACAAGTGGAATAAACATGATGGAGACAAAAAAAGCTCTAGAATGAAGAGAGCTTCAGGTACATAGGCTAATTGACACCACAAATCACTTTAACATCAAAATACATTTCATTCAAATGATTGATATTGCTATGTGTTAATGGTAGAGGCACTCTTATTTCAAGAGTGACATGATATTTGTTGTCATGCATATTCTCAGTTATCAATTTAAATATGAATTTTACTTATGATGTATTAGATTTAAATTTATTTGATGAGAATTGATTGAATATTGTTTTGAGCTACATGACAAACAAAGATAGAGAAGCTTTAAAAATAGATGGATTAAATTTCTATATTTTCAAATGAGTCATTATAAGAGCTTGGTTGGTCTACTGATTATCTTTTGTGTGTCCTCTTTATATGTATATGAGATGATCATTAGTTTATATTTTTTTATATCATCAGATATCATTGAGATAAGGTTTTTAATAAGATAAAGAATGTTAAAAGTTGAATGATTTTGGGAAGTCAATTTAATCGTTCTTTTATTAAGATGGATGAATGAGTGACTTATAATATGAATTTTGAATGCAGTTGCATGCTTATTATCTTATGTTGAATTATACATGCTATTGCCACCTTTCTAATACGATTGAACATTTTCCAACCTTTTGAATTCGTTGTGATTTACACTTCAACTCATCTAGGAATGTCTCATGCTTATCTATATGTTGCATTATATATCACGTATGGAGAGAAAGAAATGCAATGAGATATTAGTTTAAATAAGAATTTTATATGTGCTACTGATTATCTTTTATTGTATCCTTTTTAGATTTATATGAGATGATGATTACTTCATTTTTTTTATGTGATCAAATATCATTAAGATAAGATTTTTTTATGAGATAAGGAATGTTAGAGGTTGAATGATTTTGGGCAGTCAATTTAATTGTTCTTTTATTAGGATGGGTGAATAAGTGATTGAGAAGATGAAGTTATAGGATATGTGTGCTAGGGTATTAGACCCCATGAACCTAATAAGGTTATAAGTATTTTGATGATTATAAATATTAATGATTGTAATTGAGTTGATAAATTTGTGTGCAAGCCTTTTTGTTTAGCATCTCAAATAAAACAAGAGTTGAAGACCAAACAAAACCAGACACACAGGTTGTATGGTATATGTAAATAATATATTAATTTGTATACAATCCTTTTTGTTTGGATTGAGAAGATGAAGTTGATAATTTTATTTTTAGGTGTTTAAAGATATAAGAGTTGGATGAAAGTGCCATTTATGTGATTTTTTATAGACTTATTTGAAATTTTGTGTATGATTGAAGTATGAATTTGACCATTCTATAGCACTCAAGAATATGTTGTTTGTTGCATATAATCTAATATTTGTAATATCTTTTGCGTCATTGTATTTTCAATGATTTTTGTGCTTTATGATGTTAATGTCAAAAACAATCTAAAACTTCGTAACATATTGAATATCATGTAGATAACTAGAAATCAAATGATTATGAGTGACGCGCTTTTTTGAATAACTATAAGATAATTTTGATTAAGTATTTGAAAAGTTAGATTATTTTTTTGCACAAATAAGAGATAGTTTTAAAATGAACTCTAAATCCGTATCCAGAAACCTTTTATTATGTCTTAACATTAGTATTTTTATCTTATTTTTTTATAAACAAAGTAATTTCAGACTATGTAATAAAAATATTGTAGAAATAATGACAATTATATAGTTACTAAGTTTTTAATTATGCTATCACTCTCTTTTTCATTATGATTAATTAACTCTAGAGTTGCAATGGAATGAATGAGGAATGATAATTCATAGAATTAACTTCTACTTCATAATATTTATTGCAATATAATTAATAGTTTTAGTTTAATTTATAAAATTAATAGTTATAGTAATATAATTAATAATTTTAATAATTTAAGTGGTTAGTTTAAAATTTTTATTTTTAATAATTATAATTAATTTAAATATTCATAATAATATAAATTTTATTTTTAAATTTTTATTCACTTGAATTTAATGCATACAATAAAACTTATATATATATATATACTTATTAAAAAATCGTACCCAAAAAAAAAAAAAAACTTCATAAATGTAATTGGAAACAAGAAGAACTGGTGATGACCGAGCCGTCTGCTCTAGTCAAATCCTTGACCATTGACTTCTATTCCACGTTCAAAGTTTCTCCTCGCCCTTAGAAATATGCCCACTTCTCTCATCCCAGTATCTATCTTTCTCTCTCTTTGTCGCATTCTCATACGTGATTCAAGCAAACTTGGTTACATAAGATCACCTTCTTTTCCTTTTTCTTATTCTCCTCAAACTCTCTCAGCTCGAACTCCCCACCTTTTCTTCATGACTCCCTCTTCATCAAGCTTCGTCACGTCTGAGAACTCAGTCCCCATCCTCCCCTTCTCCACTTCGTCATCTTCCCAGCTTAACACGTTTCTCAGAGCCAGCGAGGCAGTCGGAGAGGAAAGGTCAACCTTTCGTTCTAGTAATGGATTCAAGTCAACTGTGACGACATCTTCGCTGTTTCCAAACGCTTCTTCTTCTTTTTCTCCTCCTCCTTTCCTCTCCCTTCCCGGCGGTCTCAGCCCAGCCGTATTCCTCAACTCCCCTATTCCTCTCTCTTCTTCTAATGTAAGTTATGGAGGAAAATTCTCTTACGCACTTTATTTATTTATTTTTATTTTTTCATGTAAAATTTTGGTATAAGCTCAGGCCAGCATGCATGCATGAAACTTTATTTTATGATATGACTTTTTTTTTAACCTAAAAATAATTTCTTAGAAACTATCTTGCAGTTCAGTATTTTATTTTTAATTTGATGCACAGTTCTTTATGTTTTTTGTTTTAGTGAATTCTGCACTATAATTTTAAGAACAAATAGAAAATATATCTTTTATTTTATTTGAATTATAAGCTTCTTTTTCATGCAGGCACAGATTTTAGCATCTGAAGCAATTGGGAGTACTTTTCCTACGCAAACCATTACTTGGACGGGAAACAATACTAATTATCTGCACGAGTTAAAGGAAGATCGATATCATAACAAGTCATACTCTAATTTCTCATTCGAAACATCTACAAGGCCTGCAAGCTTGAAAAGTTCTTCCTTCCATCCTTCTACAATAGGATTCATGGCTTCTGTAAGTCAATTTAATCACTTCAATTCATCTACTTTATTTTTATATTAAACAATTACAATTAATAGGAAGAAGAGGCTTTCGAGGCAGCAAATCAGCAATCATGGAGCTATCAGCAACCACCTTTAATAACTTCAAATGATCAGATTCCTAACTTGCAAGCAAGCAGTCAGTCAGAGTACAACTGCAACTATTCAAATATCTCGGCTCAAAGCCTGAGAGAGCAAAGAAGATTAGATGATGGATACAATTGGAGAAAATATGGGCAGAAAAAAGTTAAAGGTACTGAGAATCCAAGAAGCTACTATAAGTGCACTTACCCGAATTGCCCAACGAAGAAGATGGTGGAGAGATCATTAGACGGACATATAACTGAGATCATATACAAAGGAACACATAGTCATCCAAAGCCACAACGCATAAGAAAGAATTCATCTTCTTTTGAAGGATTTCAAGGTTCAACTCATCATGAAGGGAAAGATCATTCATTCAACGGGCAATTCGGTTCAATCACAACTGAAAATTCTTCTGCTTATTATGGCGACGCCCATGATATAAATATGAACTCTCAGAGGATGAGAGCAGTTGGACCTGATTATGATGACGACGAAGCTGATGCCAAGAAATGGTGAGCATGCAAGTAACTTCATATAGAACCTGTTATTTACTTCATGTGACTGGTTTTGTTTAGTAACAAAGGTGATTAATTATGCAGTTAATTACCTATTATGTTTTTGTAGGAAGATGGAGGGTGAAGTTGAAGGGATCTCAATTTCCAGCGATAGAACTGTTAGAGAGCCTAAAGTGATGGTTCAAACAACGAGCGATATCGACGTTCTCGACGATGGATATCGGTGGAGAAAGTATGGGCAGAAGGTGGTGAAGGGAAATCCAAATCCAAGGTGAGCTTAATTAACAAGTTGGCTATGTGAAAAGTTTAAATGAAAGAACAATATTCACGTAGTACTTTAAGAAAGCTATAATCAAGCAACTTTCACCAAACAAAATAGTTTGTTATCCTAAGGAAATTATCATTCCTTCTGTCGCATTGTATCATTATAAGCATTATTGCAAAAAAGTTCTATTAATTTGTCTTTATAGTTTCCTATTGTTTAATTTAATTTGTTTCTTATCCACCATGTGATTCTTTTTTTAGGAGTTACTACAAGTGCACAACATTAGGTTGTTCAGTGAGGAAACATATTGAAAGAGCATCAACTGACTTACGAGCGGTGATTACAACCTATGAGGGCAAGCACAATCATGATGTCCCCGCACCTCGAGGAAGCGGAGGCTTGACCAACAAGACTTCGTTTGATGACAACAACAATATTAGAACTAACAACAGCAGCAGCAGCAGCAGCTACAACATGAGCAACTTTACAATGGCTGTAAGGCCGTCGGTGGCTTCTAATTCATTTTTCAGCCCAAGAACTAATGGAATGGATGGAATAGGATTCTTTAGATATGAGAATTCAATGAATTCTTTATTTGCTAATGAATTGCAAAAGCAGAACCAGCTTCAGCATTTGCAGAAGCAAGGCGAGAGTGTGTTATCTAAGGCCAAAAAGGAGCCACGAGATGATTTGTTCACTGACTCGTTGCTAGGCTGAGCTGCATGTGTTCAGCTTAGGAAAAGAAGGAAATAGGTAGAAGAAGAAGGACAGGTGGCTCTACTTAATTTATTTTTAGTGACTGTTGAAAAAACAAAAATTTGTCTTATTTCTTCATTTGTATTGCACGAGTAAGAGTCTGCGGATGTGGATGTCCCAGACGATTATGCCATAAAGACTTTGTGTTGCACGATGTATGAAGAGCAAGTGAGCTATGATTTGAGGAAGAAGAAGATGGACTTATTCTGGATGTGGTTTGTGGAATGGGATAGAGCCTGTTAGAACAAAGCCTCTTGAGTAGAATCTGTTGATTTTGCATATCCTTGATAACAAACCCAGATGAATCAAAAGAAACAATGAGATTGTTATCCTTTGTTAAGTTTGAAATAGACATCAAATTATGAGAGATGCTAGGAATGTGGAATAATTGATTCAAGTGAAGCTTACGTATAGGTGTAGGTAGTATACCGTTGCCAGTATGAGCTATGGACACATAACTTCCATTTCCCACTTGAACATTATCTGATCCTTGATAGCCAGTGGGGTTGTTAATCCTGTTAAGATGATTGGTGAGATGAAATGATGCTCTCGAATCCAGATACCAGTCTGGATTGTTTTCTTATGTAGTTGCTACTAGTGCTCTGGATGTATTACCATTAGCAGGTGGAACATAGGTAATATTCATTCTATGCCAGCAAACATTTGCTAGATGTCCCATTTTGTTGCATATTTGCATATATGAAGTGGTGACTGAGCTGGTTGCTGAGATCGCTGTGTTGATTATTGTTCATGTTTGATCTATCTCTTCCTCTTCGTCCTCGTCCTTTGTGTGTATATAACGCAACATTTGGAACAGGGACGGTTGTATATATTCCAAGTATTCCACTTGAATGTTGATTTCTTCACTAATTAATAATGAATATAAGTCTTCTAGACTTATAGGATTAAGCATAGTCCTTATTGACGTCTTGAAAGCATTATATGTCGGTGGCAACCAGTTCAGTGTATACACGATTATGTCTTCTACATCTATTTTTGATCCTGCTGTAGAAATTTTGTCCACAATATTCTTGATTTCTATTAAATACTGCACCATGGTAAGATTCTTTATCGCTATGTTATGTAATTCATTTTTCAATTGAATTACATGCGATTTGTTCGTGGCTTGTTATCGTCGTTCGATAGTCAACCAGATTGTCGAACAAGATTCTTAGCGCAGTACATATGGTAGTATAGATGGTGCGATTGTTGAACACAGTGCTGCCGCCAGATTCTGATCTATAAGTAACCATTCGTTGTACCTGGGGTTTTCCGATGTAGTTCCATCATATGTCTGTATCATTCGAGATGGTGGTTCTGCGCCATCTTCAAGAAATCGAGCAAATCCATTCACCCTTAGTAACTTTAGTACTTGAGATCTCCCTATAGCGTAGTTATCGCTAGTTAGTTGAGTCAGAACTATCGTCTTGATGTTAGAGATCAAAAACTTTAGAGAAGCTGGAACATAGTTTCCTTCGTTAACTTCTTCCTGGGTCGAGTCTCTGACTTGCGAGGAAGACGATTGCACCATTGTTGTTTTTGCAGGTTTCTTGAACCCGCTCTGATACCATAAAGAAATTCAAATCAAGAAACGAGAAAATGTTTCTAAGAGATATAAAATTTGGTCTCTTTGTTTCTCTCACAGAGATTCATTTCGTGAATGACAATCTACAACTCATACATGTATTTATACTAATCAATAGGTGTGTGCTAGTACACGTGTCTAGCTTTGATTGGATGAGTCAATTACAGGTTATAGATGTCATTCTGCTTCTGCTACTTGAGTTGCTTTTAGTTACAACGTATATAAAATAATATTGATAGATTTCTACTTAAAATTTCACAACGCCTCAAAAAATTTAGCAAAACTTCATTAAAATTTCAAAAATTTGTGCCAAATTTTTAACTTTAATGTGAAATTAAAAAAAAAAAAAAGTTTTAGCTGAAACTTTCTAAGTTGCTTAAGAGTATTTATGAGACAGTTTTCTTATTATTTTTTTAGGCCACAAATACAATTTTTTTTGCTATTATTTTTTCTTTGCTATGAAAATATAATTTTTACAATCAGAATTGCTAATGTGTTGCAGCTTTAAGAAAATAGGTGTCCAAATCCGATTAATTAAAAAAATATAAAATCCACAATAACTTTAAAAAAAGTTACATTTCTCACTGCATTTCACAATCATTTTACAAAATACTGAAGCTATCCCAAACATAACCTAAATAAAAAAAATTAATGAGCTTTGGATCAAATTCAGACCAAAATCATTGAAATTTAAAATTAAGCTAACACCAACTACAGCAATAACCAGGAAGATCAAAGTCAGAAATGAAGGAAAAAAAATACTATATATAACTCTTATTGAATGAGTAAAAAGATAGAGAAGCAGAGATGAATGGAAGAAAAAGAGACGCAGACAGGTTAATTAGCTAGACTGGCTGTTATTTTTTTCCTTTTTTTCATGTCCTTTTTATTTAATTTCTCTCTGCCTCTTTTACGTAATATTTACTTGATTAGAATTAATCAATACTAATCTCCCTTTTTTCACCTAATCCCAAAGTACCTTAATGTTAAATTAACTGCCTTGCTCCTCAATTTTCCGACGTGAGATCACAAAACCTGCTAAGCAATGACAAAGTAAGGCCTTGTTTGGGACGGCTTTCTTACTGCAATTTTTGTACTAGAAAACTGTCTTAAGAAGCAGCAAGAAAGTCGCCCCAAATGAAGCCTAAGACTAGTTCATACACGCATCATATGAGCAATATTCAAATACAAAATCTCTTAATTGATAATCAAACTTCACAACCAAAAGATCAAAATGAGCTGCGTTTTCATTGTGGCTTCATTTTAACACTATATTAAGGCTTCATTTGGAACAGCTTTCTACCGCTTCTTAAATCAACTTTCTAGAACAAAATTTTAATTTTTATATTAAAAAGCTGTTTTAATTAAGAAGCAGTAAAAAAGCCGTCCCTAACGAAATCTAAATCTAAGGCTTCGTTTGGGACGGCTTCATTGGTGCTTTATATATACCAGCTTTCTAGTATAAAAATTTTAAGTTTAAAAATTTTTTGTACTAAAAAATTGTTTTAGAAAACATCAAAAAATTGTCCGAAACCTAAATCATACCCGTTAACATCAATGAATAGTATTTATAACGCCTTAACAGTAATTTTAATAAATGCCATAAACATTATGAACAGTTAAGACACCGAAGATAATTTGTATTCCTTCCAAAGTGATGAGACTCTTTCTCATTCAAGCTCGGTCAATCTGCTTTGTCCTGATTTCATTTAGTTTGACCACCCAATTGCAAGAGTTCATAGTTATTTTGATATATAAAACAAGCCTTTGAATTCAAGCAGTATTGTGACCATCGATTCCAGTATATCATTTGTTTCTTCCACTCGTCACGAGCTCTCATATTAATAATTTTTACTAGGAATTTTCATATTCTTTTGTCATCATATGAGCCATAAAATGCTAATTTTTTTCTAATAAAGTAAATGGGGTATATATATATCAACATCCAATAGAACAACATGCACCATGTTTCCAATTGGGTTATTCATAGGGGTGCATTAAGATGGCTCCCGAGTCAGCTCGATCTTGACTCGTTAACGAGTTCATAAGTCGAACTGAATTTGAGCTCGAGCTTAGCTTGGCTCGGTTCTATACTTGTTGAGTCGCTTGATTAACTTAAAATATATTTTAAATTATATATTATATTTTAACATTTTTAAATTAATTTTATATTAAAAATAAAAATTCTAAAAAAATATAATTTTTAATTATAAACTAAAAAACCGAACTCAACAATCGAGTTAAACTCGAGTTTTACAAACAAGCATGAGCTATAAATTTTTTAACGAGCCGAGCTTGACCTTACTAATGACTCGAGCTCAATAAGAACCAAACAAATTTAGCTCAATTAGACAATACTCGACTTTACAACCCTAGTTCTATGTGTATTTATATTTCCAATTACGCCCTTTGGCCATTTCAACCCTAAAAGGCTGAGCTATGTGTTCTAGAGTAGTTTATTATAAACTTGGCAAACAATCACTCAATTTGACTAAGTAAAAGTAGAAAATTTTGATGACTTTACTAAGTCAAAATATGTCTACTTTGCTATTTGGGATTCACAAACTATGACTTTACTAAGTCAAAATGTATGCCTACTTTGCTATTTGGGATTCACAAACTCAGCTTAAAGGTGCGGACATTCCAAAGATTCTCACGATTCTCATTTTATTGACCTAAAGTGTGCTGTATTGTACACTAGGGCAATCAAATCACCATGCCGGCAAGCCACAGCTTGCACAAAAGCAATGCATATTTCATTCGTATTGATAACAACAAAAAATATAAATAATTTTTTTCTTAGAATGATGAGTACTAAGATATATATTTTG